ACAGGATAGCCCCCTACAGCAGAGTATTATTTGGCCCAGAATGTCAGTTGTGCTGAGGTTGAGAAAACCTTGCATTAATGTTTCAGGAGCTCAGAGTATATAGTATTTGATTCTCATGGGGTACTATAATTCTTAGAAAGACACTATTGCTCTTGCCGCAAGGTGAGGCTTTTTTGCGAGACCAGAGAAATCCAAAGGGAGAAAGAAAAGGAGCTCACATTAGTACATACCTATTATGTGCTAGGTATTCTGCCTAAGCATTTTTTTCATTTAGTACTTTTTTTTTTTAAGATTTTATTTATTTATCTGACACAGAGAGAGCACAAGAGAGACACAGAGCAAGCACAAGCAGAGGGAACGGCAAGCAGGGGAGAAGCAGACTCCCCACTGAGCAGGGAGCCTGATGTGGGGCTCGATCCCAGGACCCTGGAATCATGACCTGAACTGAAGGCAGACGCTTAACCAACTGAGCCACCCCGGTGCCCCATCATTTAGTTCTTACAACAACCATGTGAGGTAGGTATTATTACCTCCGTTTCACAGATGAGAAAACTAAGCTCAAATACTTCAGTGATTTGCCAGTGTTACCCAAAGGGTAATAAGAGAACCAGGATTATAACTCATGTCTCTGTGCTTGTCTGGGGGTAGGACAGAAGGGAGGACCGGGGTCAGTATTTCTTATTCGTGTATCCCTAACTTGTAGGATAGTACCTAATTATCCATGAGTGCCAGTAAATATTTGGTAATTGGTTATTTGTTCAAATGCATGTAACTGGTAAATGGCCTAACCCAAAGCCCACATTTTATTTTACAATTCTGTGCTCTCTTTGGTTCAAGAAGGGAAACTCTACCCAAACAACAGGAAGCATGGCTGAATTAACCTTTGGTATTTACTGCCGAAGTTGGTAATTTCCTAGTGATCACTTACAATTTTTATTGCATGTAAGAAATTTTTGAATGGTGAGAGACATGGCTTACATTCTGGTTTTCCCTACATAAATGGAATTCTAATCCTTTCTACACAAACTAATATGTAGCAAATTAGCATTAATCCAGGAAAACAGTAGGAGGAGCTCCTTTCTTTTAAATGAAGTTAAGGTCTTTAAATTAATTTGTATGGAAATTAGCTTTAAAGCTCCAAAACTACAAATAAGTGTATTAAAAGGGTTTAGAAATTTCTACATAAAGAATTCCTTTAAAAAATAATTACAATTATTTTAAAATTCAGGAATGATATACAAGATGAAATAATGTGGAATTGAATTAAGAATATTTAGTGGGTGGGGTCCCTGGGTGGCTCAGTCAGTTAAGCAACTGACTCTTGGTTTAGGCTCAGGTCATGATCTCCGGGTCCTGGGATTGAGCCCCATGTCCGGCCCCAAGATCAGCTGGGAGCTTGCTCAAGAATTCTCTCTACCTGTCTCCCTTTGCTCTTTCTCCCGCTTGCAAGCTCTCTCTCTCTCAGATAAATAAATAAATCTTTTAAAAAAAGGAATATTTGGGAGAAGTTATTACTTCCATACTAATAAATTTGAAAAAAAGATAAATGCTTAGAAAAATTAAAATACTAAACAGGATTCCAGAAAAGAATATGAATAAACCAAACCAAGAGAAGAAGTAAGAATTACCTAAAAAATAATTTACCTGACCCTGATAATTATTAAAGAAATGCTTCTCCAATGATTAAGACAAATATCAAGATCACAAACTGTTATTAAATATGTACCCTATGATACTACTAATAATTTGTTAATGAATGAATATAGTGACCAAATTACATTTGCTGAGTTAATCTTGTGAGGCAATTTTTTATTAAATACTCCCAAATAAAACAAATACCTAAAGCAAAAATTATGGCTTAGGCTTACTTCAGTCAATTCTCTGGTTTTCTCATCTGGAAAAGGGCGTAATGATATCATCTACTTTAGTCATCCATTGTGTGCATTAGGTGAAATAGTCCATATAAACTTCTCAGAGAAATATCAACTTTAGTTGTGTTAAGGCACTGAAATTTGGAGTTTGTAGAGTAGTTATTCTGCCCTGACTAATATACCAATGCTTTGTCTACTCAACTGGAGGAAACATGCTGAATGGTCACAGTTTAATGACCAAAGACCTCAAGTGGGCCCTTGATGTTACCATGATGCTCCTGCAATCATAGATGTCAGTTTTATAATTTTTCTCTCCTAGCACCTCCAACACCTTTTCTCCCATCCTTGCTCTCAGTTGAGGACCTTATTTCTAAGTCATTGAGAAAAAACGGAGACTCCCACAAGCTGTCACCACCACATCTACCTACTGACCAGCATCTGTCCCCATATGTTGTCTTTTCCCTTTTCTTCTGTTAAATAGGGGAAGTACCCTCCTTGCTCCTGTGGAAACCAGTTCCTCCATTTGCTAATTTATGTTACTCCAATGATTCTACCTTGTCCTGCATCACCAAGTTTTCTCTCTCTTTCTCTCTTTTGGATTATTCCCATCAATAGGTATGAAGTAATGTATCCTGTATGTAGCAGATAGAATCATGGTTCCCCAAAGATGTCCATGTCCTAATCTCCAGAACCTGTGACTATGTTAGGTTACATGGCAAAGGGGAATTAAAGTTGCAGATGAAATTAAGGTTACTAATGAGCTGACCTTAAAATAGGAAGATGTCAATGTGAGTGACATCATAGCTGGAAAAGAAAGAAAACAGATTCTCCCCTAGAGCCTTTAGAAGGGAACATAGTCTTGCTGACATCTTCATTTTAGCCCAGTGAGATCCAGATTGCAATTTTAACGCTAGAACTGTAAGATAACTAAATTATGTTGTTTTAAACCATTAGATTTGTGGTAGTTTGTTACAGCAGCAATAGGAAATTAATATATTACAAACAACAACAACAACAACAAACCCTCTTCCTGGTGTATTTTCCTCCTCCAGCTATTGTCCTGTTTCTTTGTTGCCCTTTATAAAACTCCTTAAAAGAGTCACCTAGCTCCAATTCTCTCTTAAACCCTCTATAATAAGGCTTTTTTTACCCAGCCACTTCACTGACCATGTGCTTATCAAGGTCACCAAATGACCATGTCATCATGGCCAATTCTCAGTCTTCAAACAGATTTGACAAGGTGATCACTCCCTCACCTTTGAAACACTTTCTCTCTCCTTTCTAGGGTGTCTCACTCTCCTGGTTTTCCTGGTTCCTATGGCACATTCCTTATGGCTACTCTTCAGTTTCCTTTGCCAGTTCCTCCTAATTTCCTCAATCCCTTGGAGTGGTTCAGGATTCCGTGTTTGTCTCTCCTCTCTTTTCTGTCAACACTCCTTCCCTAGCTGATCTCATCCATTTTCATGGCTTAAAATACTACTGAGACACTGATTATTCTCAAGTATGTATCTTGGCCAAGACCTCTGCTCTGGACTCCAGACTCATGATATAGTCACTTGACATCTCCACAAGGAGGTTTACTAGGCATCTAAACCTTCAGACCCCCAAACTGATCTTCTGACCTTACCTGTAAAACCTGCTCTTCCTGACATTTTCTCCACATAGGTTAATGGCAATTTCATCCTTTAAGTTGCTCAGGCCAAAAAACTTGGACTCATCTTTGCCACCTCTTTTCCTGTCCTGACCCTCATCCAACCTTTCAGTCAAACCATCTCCAGGGTCTAGAACAGCAGTTAATCAAACCTATTGGTTAAGTCCTTCAAAACATATCAATCTGACTATGTCCCATCACCCCTACAGCTACTATCCTAATACAAGGTATCAGGCCTGGATTTTTCAGTAGCCTTTTAAATGGTCTCCATACTTCCATGTTCCCCTAAATTCTAGTCCCACAGACACAGACTGATCCTTCTAAAATAGAGATTAGATCATATCATTGTTCTGCTCAACACTGTCCAATGGTGTCTCAACTCAGAGTGAAAGTCAAATGCCTGTAAGCCCCCAAAACATCAGACTGGGTGAACTTTCACCAATTGCTCAACCATATTGATCAGGCTGTTCCTTGAAGAAGGTATTTTTCCTCTTCAACACCTTTGCGTTTCCTGTTCCTTTTGATTTCTTTCTTCTAATGTTTTCATTGCTTTCTCCCTCAGCTCTCTTGAGTCTTCACTTAATTATCATCATCTCAGTAATGCCTTCTCTGCTCATGTAAGATTTCATCATTCATCTTCCACCTCCAGCATTCTCTTCTCTTACTTTATTTTTTCCACTGCATTTATTATCTCTGACATACAATATACTTTTTTTGCTTACTGCTTATTTTTCATACTAAATTCTATGAAGACAAGGTTTGGGGGATTGTTTTGTTTACTGAAGTATCCCCAAGGCCCAGGACATTAATTAGCACATTACAGGCACACACTAAATAAAAATACATATTGAATGAATGAAGAACTGGAAGGTAGGGTATGAGGGGGAAATGGCAAAAATATGAGGACTAAGAGGGGCAGAGCAAGATGGCGGAGGAGTAGGAGACCTGGATTTCGTCTGGTCTCAGGAATTCAGCTGGATAGGGAT